GGCTCCAGCCGGGTGGCACGGCTGCCGGTCGTGGTGTTCTGGGCGGCGCAGCTGTAGTGCCACCAGCCACCAGTGCTCCAGGCAGCGCAATAAGGGGGCAGGGAGCAGGAGGGATTGGATAGCGGGCAGGGGAGTTCGGGGTGGTGGTCAGGGAGTGGGGGTGTGGATTGGGGCGGTCAAAGGGCGAGGAACAGGGGGGTTGAATGGGGGCAGCGGTCCCAGGGAGGCAGTCAGGAAGAAAAGGGGAGATTGGATGGGGTGGCGTGGGGCAGTCAGGGGCAGAGGTTCCCGGGGCAGTCAGGGAGAAGGGGTGGTTGGATGGGGCAGAGGTCCTGGGGGGGCTGTCAGGGAGCGAGAAGGGGGGGGGTCGAATAGGGGGCGGGGACCGGGCCACGCCTGGCTGTTTGGGGAGGCACAGTCTCCACTAACCAGCCCTCCATACAATTTTGGAAACTTGATGTGGCCCTCAGGCCAAAAAGTTTGCCCTCCCCTGACAGAGCCTTCACCACTGCATTCCATCTTTGCCAATCTCCTGCTGCAGTCTTAGCTTCCTCCCCTGGCATTTTGATAGCTTTCAATTCTGCTTCTATTGTGCATTTCCATGTTATCCTAGGGGTTCCATTCCAATGCTTGTTTTGTTATGTTATTCTGGCATTTCCTCCATGCATGTCTAGCAAGCTCTATTTTTATTCGGTAACACCCTGTCCTACTGGTTTCTGTTTGGTCCTCTCCCAGAGTTCTTTGTTTGTGATTTTTTTCTGGCCATCTGATATTGAGGATTTGTCTAAGGCAGCTGTTCATGAAAACAGGTTAGATAGTAAGGTCATAAGAAGTCTTCAAGTTTCAGCTTCATACAGTAAGACTGACTCAGCAATGGTGTTAAATATTCAACTTTAGTTGGGAGGGCAAGATTTCTGGTTCTCCAGATCAGCTTTAGAATTACAAAGGGATGTCTGGCTTTTGCTATTCCGGCTTTAATGTCTTCTTCTGTTCCACCTGTCGTACTTACAATGCTGTCCAGATATCTGCAATATCAGATCTCTTATACGCCAGTCCCAGAAAGTATTACTGGTGTTTTTTGTTGGGTGTTGAATCTCATGGTTTTAGTTTTATCTGTGTTCTCAGAGTTTGTAAACACTAATTATTATTTGTTAAAGGTATGTTTTAGTGGGATATCAGGAAAAGTTCCTAATGATGATATAGGCTGCAGAACTGAAACTCTATGGCTTGAGATAACTGCAACCAGACTTCACAGTGCACTAGCAAATAGACTGTAGGCAAGAGTCCTTCATTGACAAGATGATCCAATGAGCCATTTCAAATTCTGAGTTCTACAATTCTGACAGCACTATTTTCCCAGCGACTACCATATCAAATTAAAAGTTCTGGGATTAGTTCCCAAAGCTGTCAATGGAGGAGTCCTGGTTATATCAGGGACCATCTCTCTCTCTTTGTGACCAGGAACTTCCTTGGCAATGGAGCTATTGTGAAATGACGGAATTATCAACTACAAGAACGAGACTTGTGAGAGCTGTCTCATTGGCTGGCCCACAGTTTTTGAACTCCCGCCTGCAAGAGATTAGAATGATGTTGAATCTTACCGCCTTCCAAAGTGACCTTGGCATAATAATAAACAAACACACACTTCTTTGCATGTCACAGTGCAAAGGGGAGAAATCAGGTAGACAGCCTGCTTTTATCATTTTGGTTATGTTTAGACATCATGGGAGAAGGTGCATTAAAAACACCGTGATAGATAAAAAGTCCTTACAGAAAATTCCTTTTTTTTTTAATTTCCATTTTATTCTTTAAATCCTTCTTTGTTTGGCAATCATTAAAACAGTGAACAGTCAAAGACTTTCAAGGTATATTTGTTCTAACAGGACAATCTAAAAGCTAAGAGAGTAAAACCTTGGAGGAAGGAAATACATGTGCTCCACATTACTGTAAAGCACAAACCCCCAAGATCTTTTCAAGGATAGTCCCCAATCTATTTTTGTGATTCATGAGCTAGCTTGCATGAAGATCTATTTATTCTTGGGTTTAAAGGCAGATTGCTTTTTCCCAGGTGCACATGAGGTTACTCATTTTGAGGCTAACTATTACTTTACAATGGGTCTTTTCTTTTTGCACTTCAATAAAGAGCCTTCGCTAAAGGGTTTGGTTTAACATTACACAGGGATAGCCTTCTGGCACATGGGCCCCTTCCCAAGTGAACATCAAAGTACTCCTGCAATCAATATTAATCCCAGCTCCGGTGGGAACTGGGGGCCTCCTGCAGCTGTAGTGTCCATAGGTATCCATGGCCACTCCTGACATGCTAGCAGTAGAACAGTACATCATAGGAAGTTTGAAGATTAAGACAACCACTTGCATCCTCTAAGCGTTCCGTTCCAATTTACTATCATTATTAGTGGTACTGTAGTGCCTAGAAATCCCATTTATGGACCAAAATCCCACTCTGCCAGGCACTGTAAAAACACAGGACAAAAGGCATAGCCTGCCCCACCTGACAGTGAGTGAGTGCCTGCCTACATTTCTTGGCACATAAGAAGTCATTGCAGTTCTGAGACAGTAGGCTCTTTGTGATTGGGACAGTGTCAATCAACACATTTGTACAGTGCCTACCACAATGAGTCCCTGATACTACACACAACCCCTGGATGGTACTAAGTGTGTCCAGAGACTATGGCGATAAAGTCAAATATTAATTCTGTGGGCCAGTTAAAGCATGAGAAATGGCCTACTGTCTTGAAAATGGGGAGAATTTAGTCCAAGGACATATTGGAAAGGGAGGGTTGGAGTGAGAAGTCATCTGCCTTCATCAGATATTTCTACATGTTACCCTGCTGTAAATGTGTCTATGTACTTTCTGACTACTTTAGAGATTTCTAGTTTAGACATATTTGGGGTACATTTTGGTTCAGAAAAACATGGTTCTATAATAGATTAAAAGCCCACTAACTATATTTTATGTAACTTTGTCTTTTTTTTAAAAAGTACCATATGTAATGTACATTAATAGGAAGATCAAATCCAATCTGCTTTAAACCTCAGAAATGTTGTATCTGGCAGTCAAAATGCAGAACATTTGTTCTTAATTTAACACTGTATGCAAAGTTTTGGTCATATCCAAGTCTATCCAAAATATCTGTCGGAATATATTGCCCTAATTGATTAATTAAGCCAGCAAAGACAGAATACAAAGCCAAAGTGTATAGATCACCCTATGTCTTCAATAACTATAGAATAAATGGTGTCAACGTGACAACCTCCACAGTAGAAATTTACACACTGTTTCTTTAGAGCTAGCCAATGTTTTCCTAAAATCCTATTCGAGTCTCTTGTTAGCTGAGTTCACCATTTGTTGACCTTTCTGCTGTCAATCTTAATGCCACTTCCTCATTCTTCCCTGAAGAAAAGTCTGCTGTTTCTCATGTTTTTATGATAACTGTTCCCCACATCTTTTTAATTCTGACATCCATCTTGGACTGGATTTCATATGGGGCCATGATCAGATGCTTGCAGCTATTACTGAAAATGTGTTGCCAGAGATATGCCAGTGGCATGGACACATGGTGCTGGTCTTTGGATTCTTTATAAATATTGAAGAAAGGTAAAAGATCTTCAAGAAATTTCTAAAACAAAATTGTTACAGCAATCACCTTAACAGAATAACAGCATGAACCAGCATGAATATAGCAAGTAGAAATTTTCATGGGCGAGTGTGCCATCAGCTTCTGCAGAATATAGCAGTCTACCTTGTTGCAGCAAACATAACCTTCCAAATGGCAATCTAATGTGAACCCACACAGTGTTGTCTTCCTAAGTCTGCAGGCAGACAGCTCCAGTGCCTCTTCTGCTACTGCTCAATATAGTAGGTCCTTCACACTGATCTTTATTTGTGGGTTTTGTTCCCTAGCTATTAGGTATCTTGGTGTAAGGGGATGTGGGTGCTTTGCTGTGTGGGTGAGTGGGCAGATGGGGAGGGGAAGAAGGAGACTGATGAGAAGTTAGAC